TACAACGAGTGTCGATGTGGTTGAAGATGCTCAGGCTGCTGAATGAAGCTCAATGCGTATGCAAAACTCACGGAAAATGTGTCTGAATGAACAGGTTCCTTGACTCTTCAGCCTAGTCGGTGTATGTTGTCGCTTCGTACATTTATTTGTCGATTAGTTGATTTATCAATCAGAATCTCATTTTTTTCTGAAAAGTTACTCATAAAGGGTGAAAGAGTCGAAACATAATACAATCTTGTTGCAAAAGTATTTTCTTAAGACGCGCATCTTTATTACCAATTATTTTTTTGAAGTTATGCGGCAAAAATTATCTTTTCCTGCACACTTTCAAACTAATACATGTGTTCTTTTTGCTCCCTTTGTTTAATATCCTTTTCTCTCCTTTTTCCTCTCTCTCTCTCTCTACTTATTTTTTTTAAAAATTTTAAGTTTACTCTTGCCATTATTTTTTTAAACATGCGGTCCTTTCATTTGGATGGTTAAGGATGCATTTTAGATGTGACAAAAGATAGAAATGCACAAGAAGTTTATCAATCAATTGAAAAATAATAAACGAATTGAAGTTGGCTTGTAAAAATACATTTTAATGAAAACGCATAACTCCGACATAAATTTGCCGTTAAAATTCTATTCAACTGAAAGAATAAACTTTTGGAGGTGTTTATATTTCCTCTACGTTAAAAAAAAAAAAAAAAAAAAAAAAAAAAAAAAAAAACAAACCTGCGCATGATCGATTGTATCATGAAAGACGTCAGCATCCAATCTCGGGAAAAGGGAAAGATAAAGAAGAAAAAGTGGCGCCATAATTCTCGAAAGGTTTTAATCCTCCACAGCAATAAGCCCGATTGATCACAGGCAGATCTGTGACCACCTCTCCACCCCTCTTCCGTTAAGAGACAACTCGCAAAATGACGAGCAGAAGAGTGCTATCTGCGTTTTTCTTTGACCCATCACTTCTATTAGGAAAAACTATTAACGCGGCTCATATGGAAATGATTCATTTCTCTGAACGCTGTCCGCTTAAAGTCTCTCTGAGCGTCATAAATACCTCTTTGGAAAACGCCGCGCAAAAGACACGACGCGAACCTATGTAAATAACCGAGACTCGATAGAAACAGTGCGTCCACAAATAATCTGCTGTTAACTTTATTTTACGAGTCGGAGCTTATTAAAAAGTTTCTGGCGCCGCTGTCAAAGCTCAGAGGAAAGAGTCAGTGCGAGCATCGCGTCGGGTGAATTTCACGAGCAACCTGGCAACCCTGCGTGAGGTTAGTGGTCAGAGTGGCTGTTTAAAGGAAGTGACTACCGGCATTCAGCGTTGATTTTATGTCGGCGCGCATTTAGCAGAATTAGAGGGATCAAAGTCACCTTTCAGCGGTCGCTGGGCACGGAAAATGGACGTATTTCTGCCAAACGGAACTATGTGCATTATAGCGTGAGCCCTGTTATGCATATATTCTTTTGGGTCTCAGGGCTCATGTCTTAATGCACATAGTTCCGTTTGTCAGAAATACGTCCGAATAAGAAAAACGATTGTGAAATTGACCATAAAAACGGTCGCGCGATCAGTACAGGTTCCACCTGCGGGTGAACCTCAAGCGATCTACGGCGTTCAGGGCAGGATCATCCAAAGACGGTTTCTTGATCCCTACATAGAATGTCCTAAATCGAAATTTGATACTTTGGAATTGTTTTCTATCAATACGCCAACCGGCCCTTTGGGCATTTTATGGTATGGTGGTCGTAGCGCTGGCCCTAAGCTCAGGAGGTCTCTGGTTTGCTCCTAGTTTAGTTCAAAAACACAGGAGAAAATACGGGAAACAAGACTAAAATACCCTGCCTTAGCCTTGCTTTAGCCTTGTTTCTAGGTTTTCTCCTATATTTTTGAATTCACCATTGTTACGGGCTACTGCTTCAGAAATTTTAACCTAAGTTCTCTTTTAGGTGACTTGAGTTTGATGGTCTCAGCCGAGGGTCATCTGGAGCTGGTTGTAAAAAAACCAGAGGACCAAGTCCCTGAGGGATATTTAAAAATTAATAATTTTAATAAAAAAATGTTTTATTAGCCCTCTTGATTTTATCTTTTTAGCCGTTTAAAGAAGAGTTGAGGTCTCCAAAAGTATTTTTTATACAGGCTTTTGTGTACCAAACAATGCGCGCAATGCTCTAATACTGCAAAGATTGATTTATAATAATGTTGACACTGGAAGTCTCTCTAAGCGTCATTAATACTCATTGGCAAACAATCGAAGGAGGAATTTTCTATTATTAACACAAATCCAACATACATAAATAGATTTCGACATTCGTTCTAGAAAAATAGGATCGGAACGATAATAAGTTCATTAATCCCTGGCGTACGTTTCAATTCCGTAGAATTTTGTCGAGTGCATTCGTTTTCTGCGTAAAGCTGATGAGGAGGAATGCTTCCTAAACAATTTCTGATTTAGATCCTGTGTTTTGGCCCATGCCTCGTTTAAGGTCGTTTAATAACTTGTTTTGCCGAGAACATAGAGACGCAATAAAATACGACTAGCAGTTGGTAAAGCACGTGTTTCACTTAGTTTTTGCATTAACTTTCTCATTTTTGCGGAAGAACGCTCTTTTATGAACTTCTTGGCGATTTTGGTTCGATGTTGGAATCTGAATATTGGTAGTGATATTTACCGTTTTGAAAGGTTTTCTGCTCTCCTGGAACCTGAGAGCTCCATATCGATAATTCAGTGACGTGGCGTGCTTTGCTATATATCGATTGATACGCCACTCAAAACTATGAAAAAGATCGATTATCAGGGTGTTCGCAGCGAACACCTTAGTTATCGATTCTTTACCATAGTTTCAAATGGCGAGATATCGATGATCGATCATCATGTCCGTTCTCTCCCTATACAGACACTCCAACTTTGATATAGTGAAGTTTCCTAGCTCCTCTTTTGGGGGAAAAATAGGAACCAACACTGAAAAAAAAATATGGTAGATTTTACTATACTCTGACACAGTGATCCGAGTATGGCAATAAAAACCAGACTCTATGGTAGTATTTACTAAATTAGGGTAAGTATCACCAGAGTCCTAGTAAAAGCTACTACAATTCCGGTTTTTTTCACTAGATAGTATCACTGCGTAAGAAATCAAGTAGACTTATAGTATATGTTACCATACTTTTTTTCCAGTGAAGACAGTATGCAAAAAGTACCAAATGGTCACCAAGTTTTTAGCAAACTTACCATAAATGGAGAAGATGCGTTTCCCGTTTCGTCCTCCCCCGGCTTCGTCACTTAGTTCCAAGCTCCTCCACCGTAAGCAGCACCGTCGTGTCGGAGCCGGTAACTTAACAATCACAGACCGATCCTCCCACTGGACACACGCTACCCTCTTACCCCATGATTAACCGACCACCGCGCCGCCACCGATTGCCCCTTTGTTCTTTCCAGCCTTATACGACCGTGCTTAGGAAAAATGCCGTATGTGCACGCTGATGTTGCCGAATATCAACTCCCATTCAATTGTAAGCAAAAGCAAACTAGAATTTGTTTGTGGTGAAGAATCAATACACGGGAAAAAAGTTCGGTCACGAGAACTGGACGTCCGGTGTTCCGAATTATGCCAACTATTTGGTCGGTCGAATAGAACGTTCGGTTCCTGTAACCAAACATCTTTCCGTTAGTGCACTTTACCCCTCAAGTTTGGTTACCCGTACTGAAAGTTCGGTTTGACGTATCAAACCGTTGTGATGATGTGGAATTCCAAACTTTCGTGTAATATAACCAAACTTTCTTTTGGAGTGAAATTTTCCTCGCAGTAATTTTTCCCTTTTTTTGCGAAGATGAAAAAAATGTCAAACCACGACTAGGGTCTCTCGTGGACACAAAAAAGCTCGCCTCAAGTATAATGCGTCAGTGCAATACTCGACTACTGCCGTGCCAATTAAAAATGCCGTATTCTAATGTTGCAAAATTTCCTGTCAAAAAAAAATTACTTTTGAAGAAAGTTATGAATATTTTTCCTCGAAATTTCCGGACTTTTCAGGTCAAATTCTGCCAAATCCTATGAAAATCAGGAGAGAAATATACATTACTTATACTGAGAATTTGTGATTTGTCAAAGAAAAGGCAACGCCTGATGGGTCATACGACGTTTTTTCTTAGTACGGCAGACTACTGGAGTGGCCTCCGTGGTCCGTGCGTGCACTCAGCTCTTCAGGCGTCGCCTCAAAAGATCGCCGAGGACAATTTGGACGGCGCGTCGACAATAGGGAGCTCAGACTCCTCACGCTATGGGAATATTTAATCTCCAGTCCAGGACTCGAATTCGAACGCCGCATGGAAGCCGCACCAATTAGGAGGTGCACGCCACCTGCAGCCGAATAAACCACACGCATACGCTCACTTAGGCCTCTTGCTTCCTTTCCTTCCGAAATTACGGCCTTTTAGGTCCGTTCCTCCTCTTCTGTCACAAAATTGGACGTATTTCTATCAAACGGAACTAAGCGCCAATTTGAGGTCCTTTTGAGGAATTTAGAATCCCGGATAGCGCGTTCTGTCAAACGGACCTAAGCGCCATGGAAAAGCATTGCGAGTATAGGACGGAATAAGCCGAACGCCCCATTCCGCCGCCAATCTAAGCCCCCCTCTACCTTCCTCACCCTATGGCGCTTAGGTCCGTTTGATAGAAATACGTGCAATTGAGGATGTTCCATTGAGATGCATCTTACAATTGGACGTATTTCTATCAAACGGAACTATATGTGCATTAAGACATGAGCCCGGAGACACATAAGAATACGTGCATTAAGACATGAGCCCGGAGACCCATAAGAATACGTGTATTGCAGGGCTCACGACATAATGCACATAGTTCCACACATAGAAATACGTCCAATTAAGGGTATCAGGGCGACTTTACACGGAGGAAATTTGTTGCAACTAAATATCTTATGCGCGTTTTCATATATAGCATTTTGAAAATTACTAATTTTCATGTATTTTTTATTGTTACAGGAGAAACCTCACAAATGTAGTTTATGCGCCAAGTCTTTCCCCACGCCCGGTGACTTAAAATCTCACATGTACGTTCACAATGGATCGTGGCCCTTCAAATGCCACATATGCAACCGAGGCTTCAGCAAACATACAAATTTGAAGAATCACTTGTTCCTACACACGGGTGAGTAACTGGTTTATTGCACCTTCTTTGCATGTTGCACGCTTTAAAAAAAAAAAAAAAAATTCACAAATGAAAGGTCACGCAGAGTAAGGCCGCACTTTCAATTTTACGCTCATATTTTTCATTTTATATTTTTTAAAAAAAGTTTTGTCCTCTTTCCCCCGGCTTGGATTTGTTATGTAACGCTGGATTTGACCCCTCTCCTCCTTGTAACACACCGTGACGTTTGCTCAAACCCCCTCTCCCCGAAGTGAGTCACGTAATACTTTTTTTTTCTGCAGTTTATTTCGCTTCTATTCCTGTTTATTTAGTAACTCAGGAATCGAAAGTCATCTATAGACATGAGCTTAACATAGAAATTATTTTATTGTCAATAGATATCATGGGTATTTTGGCACATACATGCTCCGGCTTTCAAATTTTCAGGGATTAAGGTATAAAATTGAATCTATTTCCGCCGACCCACTCGTCAGTTCCACGTGCTACTTGAACGGTCCCTTGAGAAAAAATGTTGCATGTTTCCCCGCTAACTAAATCAATTCGATTTAGAATTTACCCTGGACACTTCAGGAATCCCTTCGAGTTGGGGCCCAAGCTCCATCAGAATGAAAAGTTTAGTTCCCCTCGCGAACACTACAGTGTAGACGACGCGACAAGCGGCTGGCCACCAAAGTGCACTTCTCTGCAGACGAGCGGACTCCGAATTCATAACTTGGACGGCCACCGTGCAGCGGGCACCGACAACCGGAATCCACGGTGACTACTGTCACAGCAAAGCTCATTTAGCGGGGCAGCAATCAACTCTTAAGATCGCGCCGGATCAACAGTAAACTTCCATTTAATTAAACGATAATGCCACCGGCCTTCTTTCTACCCGCTCGTTCGAGTCTCCCGCGAGACGCCGGGACTGAGTCGTTAAGTCTCTCACTTCGGGGATCGGCGACGGTGCTTAAGCCGCTCGGAAACATGCATCTTCCATTTCCGAACTAAAAGGATTCCGCACTTAACAGTCGATAAATATGTTATTAAATACGCGACGGGCAGCGGGGAAAAAATCGCCGCGCAATCGATCGAGTTGCGATCGGGTTTTAATTGTGAGAATGGCAACAGAATGCGGCCGGGTTGAACGACGGGCCGTTGGATGTTGGATGTTGGACGTCGGATGTTGAATGTTGCGATTCGACGGTTTTCCTCGGGGGCAACGATTCCGCCTCGGTCTCCCACAGGGAGTCAATCGGAGCGCGCGGCGCGGCGGCGAATTCAGTAGCGCCCGTCAACGTGTAAGTTGTGGCGAGGTGTTGTTGCTCTCGGTGTTTGTTGAGTGTTTCTCCGGCCGGGGAGCGTTTGAATCGATTAACGTTCGGATTGAGGGGGCTGCTCCCCCCCTTCCCCGGCCCCCTCGCCGAGCCTTTGGCCGTCGGATCCCTCCGTTTTACGACCGGTTGTCTTTTATGACGAAGTTCGGATCTCCCCGCGGAGGATCCGGCGGCGCTTGGGTCGATGTCTGCTGTGATCGAGTGATTTGCAAATTGTGATGAATTTTTTATTTTAGTCGAAGGTGGAGCAGAGAAAGTATTGCCATGTCTATTCAGCGGCGGGTCCAGAGTGGGTCGAAGAGTGGTTCGGTAAACTTCGGTTTCCGTCATCGTTTAAATGTACTTTATCTGGATTGCATTTTGCAAAAAGGAACCAAGAGTATTCCAATGCACCGAAAAAAAGTGAAGTTGATTTAACATTCTTGATGTAAAAAAAGTGTGCAAAAACTTATAAAATGCTAAATTACTTGCTACAGCAGTTACTTTAGCAATGTCAAGATGTAAAACTAACTGCTGGGGCGGGTAATTTAGCATTTTAAAAGTTATCGCACACTCTTTTTACATCCAAAATGATAAAACAACTTCACTTTTTTTTGGTGTGTTGCTAGCATTGTGCAATTTGCATTCTTCGCAATAAAATTACTGGAATCATGCAAAAAATTAAATTCACAAAGGCTATGTCCGTCTTGAATTCACAATTTATCGGGATAAAGATAAGACTTGTTCAGACGATCAGTTAATATTTGCAAGGTAAAAAAAGTTGCACAACCTTAGCGACACTGGAATGCTCTTGGTTCCTTTTTGCAAAATGCAATCCATTTGTCAGTACATTTTTAAGAGAAGTTTTTATTCCTCTCCCTATCTCCCCTTTTTTCTTTCTCTCTTTTTTCCTTTTTTGGCATGGTAGCATCCCCCCCTGATCCACCGTTGTGTCTATTCCATGCCTGAGACAATATATTTCGAAGACTTTAAACTGTTAGGTTCGACCCATATTGATCTGGATTCACTGAGATATTCGGAATGCTTACACCGTAAAGACCAACCTTATCCGAGATGACCATCTTTAAACTGCGAACTGGATCAAAACTTGATTCGAATTTGAGCAATTTCTTTGGTCTAATCCTCTGAGATAAACAGTCAATTATGACCTACTTCCTTGAGTCGAAGGAAAATTAGTTTCAATTTTCACCGAACTTTTGTTACTCTGTTTTCTCTGTCAAGAGGTCATGACAAAACTATCCTTTCAAATAAAAAGAAAGAGAGAGCGGTGAGCATGGAAAAAATGTCACGCAAATAAATTTTACAAAGTTTACAAATAAATTAATTATAAGAATTGATAGATTGAGAAAACTACTACATAACATTCAGGATCAGCTAAAGATATGATGCTCAAATCACCGGAGTCTGCCACGATTCAGCGTAGGGTGGTCTCAAAGAGGGATAATAACACAATCGCTGGGTTTGACATCTTTAATAATAAGCTGCAACGCAAAGCTATAGCATAAACTCGAGCCACAAATTAGCAGGAACAGATCGTAATGGTTTCGATAGCCTTTGCGACGTACTTCGATACTAAATGAGAGCATATCTTTTACAACTGAACTGTTTGCAGTATGATCGGTCGATTTATCGAAGTTCAAGCCGGTGTTTACGAGTTTCATCAAAAATTAGCCGAGCTCCTACTGATGCGAGTGGGCATTTTCTTAGGAGAATCTGTCAATTGGCAGCATTGCAACAAAGTAGATTATACATCATGGCGAATAATTAAAATAAATCTTAAGTCCTGCGCTCGAGTCGATTATCGCAATTGAGGATAAGATGGCTGGTGCAACAGTGACTGAGACGTTGCCAGCGATGATCGGAATTCAGCCGGAAGGAATGAATTCCTGCGGAAGTGCAGGGCTATGCTCTCTGATGATTGAGCAATGGAAATTGAGAACCTAGTAGAAGTGTCAGAAAGCCGTGCAAGTGGGGAACGTTTTTAAACTGGGAAGAGGTCAAATTTTACATTGTTAATTTGGATTGAGTGTTATGCATTTTTAGGGGTGAATAGAATTTATATTTGGACTACATTTTGCAATGTGGAACTATAAATTCCGGCCCGGTTTAGAAACAACGTATGTGTCATTAGTTTCCCTATGCACACAAGTTATTTTCCAGAGGAGCCAAAATTTATAGTTTCAAATTGCAAAATGCAGTCCATTTCGAAAAACGTTCGCGGAAATTGCGAGCAAAATTGGCCAAAAATCGTCCCCTCCCGTTCAAAGTATCACCAGCGATATACGACGTTTCAAAATTTCCGCCGGTATTTTATATTTGTATCGAGAAATTGTTGGTTTAATCTGTTCGAAAATTTCATTGAATTTCATCGGCAGCACAAGGGAAATTCAGAGAAATTTTCGGTCAATTTCTCTTAAAAAAAATGGCAGCGGAAATTTTGAAACGTCGCATGGCACTTGTGATTCTTTGGCCGAAAGGTGACGAAATTATTACCGCGTAAAGCGAGGGCGACAGAGAGAGAGGGGGGTGTTCAATAATCTAATTATTAGCGTTATGTATTTCGTAAGGGACGCACCCCTCAGGATGAGGAAAACGATTCGAAATGGGATAAGAAGACTATTCGCTGGAGTTGGAGTGACTTGGCAGCGGAGGCCGTGGATCTAGAGTGGGCACTTGATAGGAATTCATTGTGGACGGCTACTGTAATCTTAGTAGTGAGTGCGAAATGACTCGTCCATCGGATCGCACTCGAACCCGACTCGAGCGGCCCGGACTGGACGCGGCCAGGGTAGTATTAGCGGCTCCAGCTCGGGGCAGCCTTCCCCAACGCAGCCCCGGGCGAGGACATTATATAGTTTTAATAATAACCCATATTTCTCCGGCTCTTTATTACCGGGGCAGCCTCATTCAGGAGTACCCGATATGCCCCGATATGCCCTCCTCGCATCCTTGCCCTGTGCTCTCTGTTCACTTGGCGTTGTTATTATAATTATTATTATTTCCATGCGTCTTGCTTGTCCTGCACGCCTCTGTCCAGTGTTCATATTTCACTTTGCACCCGCGCGTCTTCCTTCTTGCGCTCCTGTGGTCGCCTTGATGCCGCCTTGCTCTCGCGAGGAAACTCAAAGAAAGCATCCAATCAGGGACAATATATTTTAAAGATTCCAAATAGTTACTTTCGGATGTCAACGCTCAGATGGACAGCGTTAAACAGAAAGGAATCAAGCCACATCAGCCATTCCAAATTTAGTTGGGCAATTTTATTTTTTACATGAAAACGGTTGTGTGGATTTCTTTTGCAACTTAAAGTGAATTTTTTGCATATTATGAAGGAAATTCATTGGTATTTTCAAAGGAATCGTTATTTTGTAAAAAATTAAATTGCCNCGGAAGTGCAGGGCTATGCTCTCTGATGATTAAGCAATGGGAATAGAGAACCTAGTAGAAGTCCATGTCTCTATATTTTTTTTGCTTCTCACACCTTTAAAGTCGGTTCCTAATCACTTATAACCTCCATTCGATAGATACACACTAGTCTAAAGTTGGCTGCAGGTGCTTAGACACAAAGCCATTAATTAGCAATAAAAAAAAAAAAAAAAACCTAGTATAAGTGTCAGAAAGCCGTGCAAGTGGGAAACGTTTTTAAACTGGGAAGAGGAAACACATGGTGAAATTTTACATTGT